ACAGGGTCGGAGCAGCCACAGAGAAGGCTCTCCTCCCAGGGCCCACCAGCCGACATTGTCTGGCTGATGGCACCCGGAGAAGGCCCACCCTGTGAGATCTTATCGGGCGCTGGGAGGGATGTGGCAGGAGGCGGTCACGGAGATATCCAGGTCCTAGGCCATGTACGCACAGAGTGATTGCGGCACTGTCAGAAAAGGCAGAAATTGTTGGTTTTCTATTGTGTTCACAACAGGCAGGGATGCTTCCACCCAGAAGGGGGAAAAAAAACCTTATGTAAAAAAGTTGTAAGTGGAGATAAGTGGAAAATCAAAGCCCGCTTCAAGGGCAAAGCCAGTGTAGCCTCTATCGGAACACAAGCGATTGCTGTAATCCGGAGCTTACATCCGTGGCTCTCCTGGATTTTGGTGACCTTACCAGCATGGCCTTTAAGTCTCCTTGGATGGAGATCCCCGGAATCTGCAGATACCAATCGGAGGCCAAGTTCCTCTGAACTGAGAGCTGGAGGTTGACCGGCTGCAAAATCTCGATCTCTGGCTGAGGGCTGCTCCCCACCACCGCCCTACAAATGAAAGGGGAACGGGTGGAGAGTCACCAGGTGGCCCCCTGAGTAAAGCAGCCTCTCCTGCCGGCAGCGCACGGCACCACTGGGAATAGCCCTTCCCAGTGGGATGCTGGCTGGGGAATTCTGGGAGTTGAAGTCCACAAGTCTTAAAAGTTGCCAAAGTTTGGACAATGCCTGCTCTAATGCAAAGGGGCCTTTCCATGGAGGGAAGTCTGCTTTGGTTCCCGGTTCCTGCTTTTCCCCAAAACAATTTAGCTCAATAGAGGGGGGGGGCTGTCCTGACTAAGCCCTTCGGAAGCCCTCCCGGTGTCTGATGGGGAAAGAAATGCAAGATGGCTTGCTTAGAACTGCCACTTGCTCTACTTTATGCTTGCATTCATAACCAAAGGTGGAGGAAGACGGCTAAAGACAGCGGTTGCGCTTCAGACCACCTCACAGGGCCGGGCAGGGTCTCTTGTCGAGCCTTCAAGGAATGGCTTTGTCAGGTCTGCAGCCCTCTTTTCTTGTGGGTCTTTGGCCTGCCACACTTTCTGTTATTCTGCTATGCCTTTTCTATTGTGGGAAAATGGGACTGTGGGGGATTGTATGGAGTTAGATGCTATGTAGCCATAACAACATTCTTTCTTGAAAGCCAAGGTCATCCTTTGTCTTTGAACCTCTGCACTTGACCTGAACTGGATGGGAGGAATCTGTCTTCGTGGCAGTGGGAGATGGGACCATGGGATGGACTTGTGGGTGTGGGGATGCAAGATCTTGATCTTTCAACTGGGTGGGGAAAACTGGGAAGCTTTCAGATTCGGGTTTTCCCAGATGTGCCGAGATGGCTCTCTTA